TATCATTATCATCATCATCATCATCATCATCATCATCATCATCATCATCATTTAAAACTCATTTTTTAAAAATGCAAAATGCATTTCTTTGATAAAACGAAATAAAAAAGTTGCTAGAATAAAACTGAATTGTAATCATAGAAGCTGTCAGGGACAGCAATAATTATTAGATATCACACGTTGTTCGTTGAATAAAGGAACATCGAATTTTGGTCGAGCAGAGTATAGCTGAAAGGAGCTTCCGCTACTAGTTGACCTGAAAACATTGGCTGCTTTGGGAGGTGACTAACGACACGTTGTAGTACATCGATCGATGCAACTTTGAAATATATAGTCAACGTGATACATGGTTGAAAAATAACTCTTCTGAATGCCCGCTATTACCAGCTTATCCGGTAAACAGCGTATTTTGGAAACGTACATTTAGTCGTATAGTATGTAAAAGTAGAAAGTAATGTAAACGAGAAACCCATATTAAATGAAGTGAATGCACGACCAATCCCACATATTTAAAATAAAATATACGAATACGGAAAGAAAAAAGAGAATTTACAAGTTGCAGGCGCTGAAAGATTAAATTAGCATAGTAAAAAAAAAAGAAACGCATCATGTTTGTATACCATGAAGGAAAATAAATAAATTGGAATTTCCTTACCCACAAATCGTGTTCATTATTAACATCATTATTCATCATTAACTATCATAATTTGTCATCAATGCAATAGCATGAACATCGGATATTAATGTATAATGTCACATTATTTTTACAGCATATCTCATTGTCATCGTTACAGCATTGCCAACAGTGCGTGTAACATTTTTCGATATCATGCGTCAGAATTTCTTCGCGTGTAGACCTCGTTTGTTCGTTCATTCACGTGTGTATATATGTATATGTAAGGGTATACACATGTGTATGCAAATCAAATGTACATATGAATATACATATATAGCGCACGCTGCGTCGCGCTGTATATAAATTTAGTCTCTGAATTTAGTGTGTTAGATATTTGTATAAATATGTCAACTCAACCGGAAAATGTATGTGTGTATATCTTTCTGTATATTCGTCCCTCCGAGAAGATCTCGTGCATATTTTTTTTATTTACACAAACTTTCTTTTTCCAAACGATTTTATACCAGAATTTAGTTCTTCAATGCTCGTCGAAATATACCATGAAGATTTGTTATATACATATATATTTAGAACATAGCTTATGAATCGCCACAAAGCTAACATTTTTATTTTTAGTTTGAAATATTACTTAAATCAATATTCAAGTAATTGTATATTGGAATGTACACATCAAAGAATCTCTTCGTCATCAAGATGACCTTGGCCTCAAGAACGGCACCAAAGTATTCAGTGTTCAATTTTACATTACAGATTCTACAGTACAATAGAAATTCTGGTTCAATTTCAGAGCAGTGAAGAATCATGAAAGGAGAATCGCAAAAGAAAAAAAAAAGGAAGTAAATTATGCGTATTCGAACAGAATAATGTAAGTTCGTTTTCCCTCTTTTTTTCCTTTTTTTTTCTCACAGTGCCAATGGTATATACTGAAACGAAAGCGGGGAAACAGCACGGAGCTTCCGGAGAGGGGAGAGGTCAAGTATGTGTAACGTGAGTTGGTATAGAGTAACAGTCTTAAAAATTTCGACTGCTGATTTATTGGTGAATAAAAAATGTGGAGGCAAACCTTTGGATTAGAGTCTCGGCCGCGGAAACACTCTCTAATGCCATTGTTTTGTCCCGATCGATCGTGTTTTGTACCGTATGATATAGCACTGTGGCCCGACGATGATCATTCGATCGATTGACGCGACCACACTCGATGGCTCTTTGCTTGCAATATAATCGCGTGCCTGAATTCTAGCATTTGAAAGAATTTTTCAAAAAAAAAAAAAAAAAAAAAAAAAAAAAGAATTACCAGGACACTAATTAACCTACAAAGAATCGTGTCTCTCGTGTCTCTCCGTTTCTCTTTCTCTCGGGCGTGCGCGTGCGCGCACCCAACAACCGAATATACCAGAAGTTTTTATTAAAAAACGTTTTTCTCTGTTTCTTTTTGTTTTTTCCTCTCTCTCTCTATTGTTGCCTTATAGTTACATGCCTCTGTCCTCTTTCTTTTTTTTTTTTCTCTCTCTATACTCCTCTCACAACTCTTCTGGCCTATACACAATTCAGGCTACGCCTTGTTCAATTAAAGTTTCCGTTTGTACTCTCTATTTTGTCCGTGATTATTGTTTGCACTTTTCGATTCGGCGAAGAATGGATGGTGGATATTTCACTGTGGTCCGCTCCTTTCTGCGGCTATTAAATTTCGTCAAATGTCGCGATCTTACCACTGCGACGTCATTCTGACCTGACGTGGCATATGGCCGACCGACGATAAGCCTCTCGCTTACAGGCGTCTCCGAGCTATTTCTTTTTTTCCCGTTACGCTCTTGAACATCAAAGTTAAAACACAAAGATAAGAGCCGAGCTCGATAAGAAACACGCGATTTTGTGTTTCCGTCGCTTTTTTCTTTTTTCAAGATCCCGTAACAATCGGATGGAAAAGAAAGAAAAAGAAAAAAAAGCTTTTTCTCCTCGATGATGCAACTCGAAGCTTCTCGCCGAGTATAACGCAAAAAGATGTAGTTTCCACTTTGACGATTCCCCGCGTGTGTCTGATAACGATGCTCCCTTTTTCCGATTGAAAATTTATCGGAGAGAGCACGTGTGAGAGGAAGAGAGAGAGAGAGAAAGGGAGCGACAAAATAATTTCCTCGTCTCGCCTTTTCAAAGAACTGCGAATTAATCAGACGTGCGTCTGTGTTGAATTCGATCAAGAGAAAAAAAGGAAAAAAAAAAGAAAATGTTTCTGATGCACGCGCTTGACGCGATTCGTACGTCCTGGATGGATTGACAACAGCGTTTTTAACGTCTCTCCGTGTATAGTTTCGCGTACTCTCAGATTATTTATCTCAGCGAAAGAAGAATTATGTTATTTATGAACGAGACTAGTCGCAGGCAGGCGAAAAAGTACGATGGTCGGACAGAGCGTATTACTGTCAGCAGATTGTATAAAAATGTATCAGTTTATGAGACGATGAGCGAAAACTTCAAAGATCAAACTAAACATGGCCACATCTGGAACTATTCTGAGCGGGCAGCTGCACGAAACCTCGGAAGAAGGGCAACGCGAACGGGCGTCGAGCCGAGAGGGAAAGCAGCGCTGATTCCTTTCAACCAATCAGAAACCGTGTTCAACGATCACGTGCCCTCGCTTCCATTATTTGCATTCTCCCACTCTAGCCTCCTCTTACTCTTCCTCCCTCCACTCATTTCTTTTTGCTTCTGTTTATGTGGAGCAAATTCCTGAAGCCTTCGTTGACCCTTGGTTTTCTACGCACAACTCGTCTGAGAACGAGCTTATGGATTTATTACCTCTATCAAAAACATCGCATTCTAACTTTCACGCCTTATGTTCACACATTGTGAATACCTTGAAAATTTGCCCAACTTTCAGTATTTCATGACTACGTTTAGATGTTATTCTTAAAAATTATATTTCTTATTTTGATTTATGTACTGCACATTTTATTATCGCATTATATATCGTATGCTTGGTGAATTGTAATTTTGATTGCAATTTAGACAATGCTCAGTTTGAAAATACATTAAATTTAGAAATTACAAATGTAATAGCTTTTGAGATCAATAGCTCCAAGTACGTTATTAAATTAATATAGTAATGTAGCAAAAAAAAAAAATTACAGACTGTTTAATAACTAATAATAAACTTCCGCAAAGAAAAATATTTTACACGTTTAATCAATTTGTGCAATAACTTTTATACAATTAAATTATTTTTTTTTACCTTTCTACATAATATTAGTATTATAATGTAATTTCAATTAGTATTTAATGTAAATTCTATTATTAAACAAATACATAATATTTATTGTGCATTTGTTTATACAGATTTCGTTTTAAATAAGCGTAACAACTTTTGTACAAAAGTATGTATGAAATATGAACAGTAAAAAAATATTGCTTTCTTTATATTATCCTATACACAAATATTCTTAAAAATTATAATCTTATTTAACTTGTTCATGCGATCGATGGCAGAAAACAAATGAAATTCCACTCGACCAGCACTGTCGTAACGGAATATCTGGTAAATGTCGTGGATTATATATGTGCCTCCAATCTGATAAATCCGAATTACAGTCCGATTGTTCGGGTGGTCCTTTTACTTCTATGCCATTAACACACCTTTTACACTTGAACCTAATATACGAATAAGTATTATAATAACTATGAACTTTCTTATTTTTGATAAACTTACTTAGCATGAGTATCTGATATAGTATTTTCTTCTAATTTAAATAAATCTCGTAGATCATTTAACGTAAAATGTCTTGCAACGTCTTCTTCCTGATCTACAACTGTCGAACTTAATGCCTTTTTATGCGCTTGCCTTTGGAAAATTTTTTCTTCGATAGTACCAGTCTGCAATATATTCAAATAGGGAATTGATTTCTAAAGAAGAATCGTATAATCCTTCGTTTACGTACACAAAGGAAACGATATATGAAACAGAGCTTCTTCTGACCATCTCTCCAAACCCTAGCCATAGCTTGATCGTCATTCGCAGGATTCCAGTCAGGATCGAACATGACAAGACGATTTGCACCGATAAGATTTAACCCACAGCCTCCAGCTTTAGAGCTGAGCATAAAAATGAAGTCATTGCTATTTGGATCATTAAATTTTTCTACTACCTTTGATCTTTTCTTAATAGTCATAGTGCCATCCAATCTAACATAATTATAACAACGTTTATGACACAGTTTCTCGAATAGATCGAGAGTTTGTGTATAATTAGATACCAAAACAATTTTATCGTTTGTTGTTGTTTTAATAGATGCTAAAAGGCAATCTAATACCATTAGCTTCCCGGATAATTCTGGCATGATTTCTCTGGAAATAAAATTAAAAAGTTCGATATTATGGAATAATAATAAACTTGGAATATTATAGAACGATACATTTTATTCAGTTACGTACCTTGTGTTATAAGTTACTGGCATTAATTTTGCAGCGTTTTCAAATCCATCACATTTTCCCAATATTTTGTCATATATTAAATCAGGATGGTTGCATAACTTTTTCAACAATGTGATTGCTGCAAGTGTAGAAAAACTTTTTCCCTTCTTGGAATTTTCTGAATTTTCTATAATCAAAAAAATAAACATACCAATTACATTTAACAATTTCAAGTAACTAGTAATTCATAACGAATTATCAATTATAATTATTAAAGAATTAAATTAAACTTATAAACCACAAACCACCTTCCATTGATCTTTTGACACTATCGCTTTGTATAAAATTATTATAGAGATCAGTTTGTAATTTTCCCATTTTTATGCACACCACTAATTCATATTTTAAAGGTAAATATTTTGAAAGTAAGGCACTGGTACGTCTAATAAGACACTTATTCACAATGGTTACTAATTCCGTTAAGCGTTCTTGAGCAAGAGTACGTTCAGCATCTGTTGCAGCTGCATCTTGACCACGTAAAATTGGTATTTCGAATTTTTTCCGAAATTCCTGAAGAACGAAATTTTAATATTCTTGCTGAGATGTTTAAAGTTTTTTTAATTTTCAAAAACCATTAACTGACGTACTTGTGCAGTTCCCAGTAGTCCTTGATTAACAAAATGTACAAGAGAAAAGTATTCTAAAAGATCATTCTGGATAGGTGTTCCACTAAGTAATACTCTTCTTTTGGCTTTCAATTTTATAAGTGCTTGGTACGTTTGATTTTCGGAATTTTTTAAACGATGTCCTTCATCGCATAATACGAGTCCAACCTCGTCTTGATGAAGAACGTGTGCGTGCAAGCGAAAAGTTTCGTAACTGATTATCAAAATAGGATTTATACACCTACGACCATAAGTTTTCATAAATCCAGTAAGTTTTGCATCAATGTCTGCTTTGTTTCCACCATCAATTGCCAGTGGTTGAACTTTATTTTTTAACCATTTAAAGATCTCGTTATACCAATTTTTAACTAATGAACTTGGAGCAACAATAATAGCTTTCTCTATAAGTGGTTTAGCTTCAGGCCCTTTAAACATAGTAAATTTTACGCATTATGTAGAAAATAATATTAATACTCTAAGTGTCAATTTACCTTGTTTTAACAGAGTCCATAATAGAGTTATACATTGTAAAGTTTTTCCAAGACCCATTTCATCTGCCATAATGCATCCGTAGGCACTTTCAATGCGTTTTCCTGTTACACACTCGTACATAAACTTTACACCTTCTCTTTGATGAGGCCTTAAAATGTTACATAATATAGGATCTACCACTACATGCACAAATTGTTTAGATCTAAAATATAAATGAATTACAGGAATTACAAGGAATTTTTAACAAAGCTTCATAATCATAAAATACTTATACTTACTGATCTACTTTCAATTTTTCATGTTCAGATAATTCAGGAGGTGAATAAACAACAAGTGCATTAGCTTCCTCAGGATCATGTAAGGCCCTACGAGGACCAGATAAACGTATTCCTAGTGCACGGCCAGATAACTGATAACCAGGAATTGGTATTTTAAATGGCTTACTAAGGAGTTTTTTCATACGTTCTTCCTGTAAATTTGCATTGTAACTATTGTATTATTATACAGAATTTATATTAATTATTTATTAAATGATAATTATCTAACTATAATACTCACATGTTCAGAAATTATTTCTTGAGTAGCTTGTACATCATCAGATGAAAGGGTTACTGCTTTATATTCTGGTATTTGTACATTTTTGACACTGTGACAAACCTTTTTTTTCACCTGCTGAACAGGTGACACAAGCCTTGATGGTACTACATTATTGGATATGTCAGATAGCAATGGACGTTTACCAGTTTTACTAGGAGCCAAAGATCGAATCTTACATGCAACGAATATGAAAAGTAATAAAAATGAAATTAAAACATAATAAACACGTAATAAAAATTAAATTCAATAACAATGATGATAATAAACAAGTCTTTGAATATTAAGAGCCAAAGTATGAAGATTATGTTTAGCTATTGTTAACTCTGTAATTGTTAATATAAATCATTTTTCAATAAAAGCTAAATTAATTTCAACAAAAGAATTTTTAACCAATTTTGCAAAGACTTACCATTTTGAATTGAGATATATCATTTTCGAATACATCAATTTCAAAATACTTTATTTTGTAACATTGTTACTTTCGTGTAGAATTGACATATACATTTCATTTGTTGAGCTAATAAGCAATAATAAATTTTACAAGTTTCGCGGTTATAAAAGCCTTACTTTATTGTAGTCAGATCTTAGCGCACCTATCGTTCAGTATTGAAAACTAATACCGTACAATTTAAATTTCAATAATGAAATGCTTTCATGCAAAAAAAGTTAAAAGTTAAATTTATATATATATTACATATATTGCATATAAATTTTTCTAATATTAATTTTTTAATAATAACATTAACTATTTTATCTTCTGATTGTGTCATTAATTTCTTCACAAAGTGAAATTTTTAAATTTTATAATATATAATAGTTTATATAATATATTTCTATTACTATAATAGTTTCATAGCAGGATGTAACTATAAAAATATTTTCATTCTTTATATTTAGCAATAAAATTATTGTTCTGCAAATATGTTACCTAAAAAATTCATACTTAAATCATCATCATCTTTCGCAATATCTTTGTTATATTTTTTGTGTGACGTATTAAAGATGCATTTAATAAGATCAAATGATTTAGAATTGTTGTTAGGTTTTATGCCATAAGTATCTTTTAAAAATTCCATAACAGCTGCTTTATTTTGTAAACTATTGAAAAACAATCTATTTTTCTTGGGGAGTATTTTTTCTAACATAAATACAAGGTGATGATGAAAACATATAAACTGGGTCGGTATAGTCGATGTAATATCAACCCAATCTTGTACACAATCAAGAGGTGTAACTGTATATCCAGAGAAAAGAGCTGGGTTTGTTAAAATTCCTCTTGCAGACATCACTGCGTCACAATTACTTTCCTTGTACAAGTATTCTGCACTTTCTAAACTTTTTATATCTCCGTTAGCAATGAGTGGTAATTTCACACTATCTCTTACTAATTTTAAACTTTTCAAATCAATTGGTTCACATCTCATTTCCGGAGTTCTAGCATGAATGGTAAGAAATGAAGCACCTGCTTTCTCAAGAATTCTACAGAAGTCAATAGTTTTATGAATATCCTTGAACAATCTAATTTTTGCAGATACAGAGAAAGGATGTGGAATGCGATTTCTCACTTGATATATTAAATCTTTTACAAGATCTGGTTTCTTAAGTAAATCAGCTCCATATCCTTCTTTTAATGCCCAACGCTGTGGACACCCACAATTTATGTCAACTCCATTGCAATATCTGAAAAGAAAAATGATTAATTAAATGTACAAATATATATTGATTGTAAAACTAGATTTAATATTTTAGGAAAGCTTACGGAGCAACTAGTTCTGTTGCATTAAGAAAATCATGTACATTTTTAGCAGCAAATTGAACAATTAGTGGTTTATCCCCATTATTAGTTGAAAACTCATTATCTCTAGCTTTTTCAGATTGTACAAATGAATCAGCTAAGATCATAGGTGTAAAACATATATCACAATCATATTGTCTTACTAATGTTCTAAATTGTAATCTGTTAAAAAAATGTTTATATCATTTCTTTATTATTATATGTTGAAAAAATATTAGAAGGATAATTTTTTTATTACTTACTTGCTGTATCTAACCATTGGTGCACACACCTTTGTCATTTTTGGTTCTTTTAAGATTTCTACTATATCAATTGACATTTTTTTTTTTATTTTTAAAATTTTGTTCTAAAACAAATTATATGTAACTTTTTTTACATATATTCTAGCAAAAGAGTGGAAAGCAATTATTTTTTATAAAAATTTCATTTTTTTATTTACTTAAAAGCAAAGTAATAGTCACAATCTTTTGTTAAATAATATATGTATGACATTAAGCAAATTTTTTGAAATAGAAATTGAAAACTAATTATTTTAAAATGTTTTCAATTATTAATCTTACGGTACAAAAAACCAGTTAAATTTACAGTTAGAAAAACGTGAATACATATATTTATATGTGTGTATACTGTCTATGTGCATATCATTAAGCAATTTCATATATTTCTTTTTTCAGTATTTAGATTAATTCATGTATTTACAATGCGCTATAATAATTCTTGTAAGTACTATTTATTTTATTTGTTTCCTTATTGTTGTTATAAATATCTGAAAAATTTAGATATAACCTTATTTATTTATAAGTTATCATTGTCCTATAATATTTTTCAAAATGTCATTAATATTTACTTTAATTACTACATTTTTGTATATATATATATATGTTCTAAACAAAAATTAATATTTACTACAAATAATAAATAATAAATTTAATGTAAATAGTAGCTATTCTTAGTAGCTTTCTTTTAACCTATGCAATCTGTTGTTTTTCATAGTAATTTTACTAAATGTAATGTTTTTTTATGCACACAAAAAAAAATTACAAATTTGTTACAAGAACGTCTTATCATTACTGTTTTAATTATGCACAATATTGTAAAAAATTCTCTCATATTAAATTACTATGATTTTAAAAGCCTCTGGAGAAGAATGTCCTTTAACAAAAGGTAGAAGTTATAAATATACATTAAGTATGTATTGTGGAGATGGTCTGAAATTTATTATAAGCTGTTTTACTATTTTGACCATTTCTATTACAACAACGTTAATTTTACAAATTTTATATGCTGATGGAAGTCCACAGGTATTTAAACTAATATAAAAAAATATTGTTTAATAAACGATAAATATCACTTATAACATTATTTTATATCAGGATAAAACTAGCATTCATGGTGCAGTTGCAACAGATTATACAAATTGTTCACAAATTGGAAGTAAAATATTACGAAAAGGTGGTAATGCAGTAGATGCATCTATAGCAGCTACTATTTGTATGACAGTGGTAGCTCCACATAAAACTGGTCTGGGTGGGTAAGTTACATACATAACTTTATTAATAATTATTATAATTTATAATTATTATTTTAGAGGTGGTTATATGATGATATATAATCATAAAGAGCAGTCAGAACCAATTATTGTTGATTTTGCTAATAATACAATGAAAGGTATATATTTGAATAATAATTAAAAGAACATTTCAAATTTTATATTATTTACATTATGTGTATGTGCTGTAATTTTGTACAAGATGAAATACGCATACCAGCAGTGTTAAAAGGATTAGAACATGCACATAAATTAAAGGGTAAACTACCATGGAATGAAATTATTAAACCTTCTGTATCTCTAGCCAAAGAAGGATTTGTTGTATCAAAAGAGTTAGCAAGTGAAATATCAAAAAATATTAATTATGAAATTTTATATGGCCATATTAATGCAGGAGATATATTAAAGTTATATAATCTTAGTGATTTGTTAAACGCTGTAGCACTGGAAGGCACTAATGGTATAATAATTTTATCTTAATTATACCAATTAAGAAATTTGTTTATTAATATGTATTAATACATTTGTTTAATTTTCAGTGTTATATAACGGAATTTTTTCACAGAAACTTCTACATGATAAAGTTAAACTTTTAAAGCTTCTTCCACAGTTGGTAAATTATAAACCTGATGTATATATAGCAAAAAAATCAAGTTTTTATAAACATGTGATATATTACTCTCCACATATGTCATTATTAAAATCAATGATTGCAGCACTGAAAAATCTTAAAATATCTACTGATAATACATCTATAGTAGAAACAGATATAGAAGTAGCAAAAACACTAATAAATTCAGTTTCAATACCGTTACAAATAAAACAACATGGTTTGTTATATTGTTTTTATTTTAAAAAGAAATATATATGTATGTATATACATGTTTGCAGTAATATTGAATTCATATAGTAACCATTTTAGTTGAAGAAGAAAGATATACTGGAGTTGTTGCAATGGACTGGGAAGATACATATGTTTGTATTATAACGTTAGTATTATAAAAGTTTAATATATTTCATTTAATATATTTGATGATAAATGTACAATTTTTATAGTGGACTTAGTACACCATTTGGTCTTGGACACATGTCAAGTGCTGGTTTTTTACTGGATAAAGCTGTTACTAACAATACCTTATCCACACTTGTTCCAATAATTTTTCATAATGAAAAAGCATTATGTGGATTAAGAGGAGTGTTTGGAACTGATGATATATTAATTATTGGACAATTATTATACAACATTATAATACGCCAATTAAACGTTTCTGAAGCTATTGAACATCCAAGGTAAAAAATAGATTTTACCTTTTATAAAAAAATATAAAATTTGGAAATATTTGGAAACATTTTTTTTAACACAATTTATATTTTAGGTATTATTTTTCGTCAAATGGATTTGTCATAGAAAATGATCCAAAACATTCTATAGATGCAGTAATACGAAGTCAATTAAACTTAATTGTACCAACACCACATTTGGAAACTGATTCAATATTAAAAAGCGTGAATATCATTATAAAAAGAAAAGATTTAATGTCAAGCCATTCAGATAGTCGTGGAGGTGGCCTTGCATCAAGATTTTAAATTATTCATTTTTATTTTATTTTTATTAAATATATCTTTAATATTTTTTATATTAATATATACAAAATTATATTTTATATTTTTTATATTTATGTATACAAAATATTATATTTAAGTATAGTGGAATATCTTACAACGACTTCATGTTATCAAAAAAATGTTTCTACAAAAATTGCTTGATGTGAAAATATACATTGATGATAAAATAAGATCTTTCATGAATTTTTAAAATTCTAATTAAAATTAGATATTTATTACAAAGAACAAACAAAATAAAAAGTAATTTATACTGTTTTATAAAAATAATTTTATTTTTTTAATCATTTTTATATAAAATTTATACAATAAAATTTAATCTATATTATATACTTTAATTTGAGTAAATTATTCACATCTTTTTATACTTGTGATTGCTGTTTTTCTTCTTTGTATTTCTTACTTAAATCAAGCTGTCTTAATCTAGCATACATTGCACTAGCACCAAGCACAACAAAGTTACTTATCCACCACAAGTATGATTTCTTTTCATTGAACCAATAAGTTGCTAAAACTGTTTGTGCACAGGCTTTAGCAGTTCCACTAATATTGTGTGTTAAAGGAGACGTTACTTTTATCTGAAGTGCTGTAGCAAAACCAATAGCAAAACCGCAAATACCACCAAGAATCATAGCAAACCAAAAATATGAAGACCCAATTTTATCATAATTGTACACTGTAACATATTCTCCATTAGCTAACATCAATGGAAGAAATATAATGACACTATATGCATTGTTACAATAAGAAAGTAACCAAATATCTTGGTCTAATTTAGGAAGGACTTGTTTCATATGAATGGAATATAGTGAGAGAGTTAATGATCCTAGTACACCAAAAATTGTTCCTAGAATAGACAAAGAACCAGCAATATGTTCTTGATCTACACCAAGCCAAAATCCAATCACAATAAATGCACAACATGCAATACAATTTATAGAAGTCTTTTGACCTGTGGAATTATTACAAGTTATTATACTTGCATGAATCCTTCTTTATTTTCAAAAAGTTCCTTACCTAGCATGAGATACGTGAAAATAACATTAAATACAGTTGTTAATGAACGTCCTATGTAATAAAATGCAACATCAACATATTTTAAACATAAATTGTTTGTCGCAATTGTTCCAGTAAATAGAAGAGACAGTGGCAATACCTATAAATAGACAAAAAAAATGACAAAAATATAATTAACACCAGAAAATTATAACTTACCTTTCTAAGTGTTTCTTTGGTATATGGATTACCACAAGGGAATTTAATATATTTTGGGAACCACTTTGACAAATTGCTAAGAATTATGCATATGATCAAGGATATTACACATTGGCACCATGTTATAAAAAGAGGTGCGTCCAAATTTATAGTATTACTGGATAGAAGAACTTTATTTATAAATACAGTAAATATAGAAATTATCCTGTAAAAGAGTTCAATTACTTTTATACATATATATATTTTATTTACCAATAGAAATTAAATAATTTTATTTTTTCATTGCAAGATAAAAGTCAGATAACATATTTCATTGAAAAACAGATGAAGAAAACTTACCAGTAAGTTGCAACCACAATTGTAATGTACATAAATTTTGCAAATATTCCAGTTTCTAGTATCATTTTTCTTCTATATATTTATTTATGTTAATATAAAATTACATTATTTTTTTAATACATATATTTCAATGATAGAGTATATGTATATTGATTATACAAAACTTCATATACATATTTACTTAATCAAACATTGAATTGCAATAGAGCTGTTAAAATATTGACAATATGATACAATAAGATACTATTGATTCTTCACAAATTTTTTCATAGATTATTGTAACATAATATTGTGATTTAATAGCTTTAATATTTTTAACGAATACAATTGTTCATGACATAAATAATAAAAATATAATTTAAACATTTTGATATGACTAAGATAGATTTACAAATCTTTATCAAATAATCTGTAATTATGGAGTAATATATGTTTTATTATCTTTAATTGCTTATCAACGTGCAAGTTTTTTAGGTTATATTTTGCACAATCTGCTATCATGCTACGATAGTTACTCTAGTTACTCTAGAATAATTATGTGTACACATATGTTCCAGCATAAGCATTATTCAGCCAGTTTGTTTTAATTTAGAATAATTATATTTACACGTAAGTGTTTTTTTCATGAATGTATTTTCAATTTGAATTAAAGTCAATTCTAGTATATATTTTAAAAACATATTGCTCTGCATATTCACATTTACTATTATTTTTATAAACAATTACCGTAGATAAAAATGATTTTATGAATTATTATAATTATTTCATGCATATATATATATATATATATATATATGATGTAATTTATGGCATTTTTTAATTAAAAATTTTTTTTAATTAAAAAATATAAGTACTCTCGAGAAATTTTTCTCACTTTCTATAAAATATTCTATTTGATTTTTACGTCGAAAACGAATTTTCACATCGAACATATTTTGAAAACGATTAAGTCTCGTCTAATCAAAAATGTGGCACAAATATATTAATATTTGTTTGATAAATTCCTCCCGACACGCTCGGTCGAATTTATTAAATTTCACAGATAAAAAAATCGTAATTGTGAAATAAATATCAGTCTGACAATTAGATAGTATGTATGTCAATGTTGACACGTGGTGTCTATGTGTTCGAGTATTTTCGACCACTGTCGTAGCAATGAACAACCAAAATTAGTACTTGCGTAAAAAGTCATTTACATCTATCTGTAAACTATGTTTTGAATTATTTCGTTTTATTTGCTCTATTGAGGAATATTAAATATCTATGGCGTCAGTGTAACAGTTTTTGAGGAATTGCCATATATCGAGTACGTATTAAATATAATAATGCCTTGTTTCCGATCGGTCAACTGAACTTTGTACTCGCAAAATTCATTCTTCTGCTTTGACTTCTCGTTTACTATGAATAGTGCAATTTTCAAATACGCGATAAACATAATCATTTTTTTTTTTTTTAATTATATAATGATCATACGTACAATGATCAACGACATTTTGATGTAACTTTCATTCTAATTTCGAGAGAATTATATGTGTTAACTAAATTACTTATCATTTCGCAATAGTTAACGTATGTGTACATTTATGTAATTCACTTGGATAAAAAGTCATGACCTTTCATAGTATTAGTTTGTAAAAGTTGGACTATGATCAGTTAGTCGTGCGAAGTTGGACAAATTAGTTGATTTTATATTTCAATGAACCTGTTACTTTAGGAATTTCATTATCATACTACATCTTATTTGTTTATTATATTGCATCTTATAGTTAAATTGAAGTTTCAAAGTAAATATACTTACTATTAGAAAATTAGAAAATTTATAATTTATTAGAAAATTAGAAAATTTATAATTTATCGATAAGTGTAACTGCAAAATGAATTGTTTTGATCATTTAATATTGTACCGTTCATTGATAATGAATTGTCCTCCAGTTTTACATTTTTCTAATTATTTGCATTTAATATTAATATTTAAATTACAATATTTGTTTTCTTGGTAACTTGTGTGTTTTAGAAATTAATAATTGAAATCTTACAAAATGTCACGATATGAGGATGTCATTGTGGAAGATAAAAGGAGTGATGATAATGCGATACCTGAATCAGAGATTAGGCATAGAATTCCATGGAGTGAACGTGTATTATTAAACAGTGAAATACCAGGATTACATGAAGTTAAAGAATTATTAGAGGATGATGATGCAAGCTGTTTGGCAGAAGAAGAGGATGGAGTTGGTTGTCCGTTACCTTCGACTCCTGAAGATGATCATCTTTTGGATTGTGAGGTGTGTAATTACAATCCTAATTATCGACATTAATTGTTGATAATTTTTTCTGCATATGTTAGTTAAAAAGATAATCAGATTATAGAGTTTATCATATGCTTTGCAGATGACAGAAGTATTAAAAGCCGGTGTGTTAAGTGATGAAATTGATCTTGGTGCATTAGCACATAATGCTGCAGAACAAGCAGAAGAATTTGTTCGCAAGGTACCTATAAAATACATAAGTATATTTTTATATTACAGATTAACAAATTATTTTCTGTTTAAAATATTAATTATCTTTCTAAGGTTTGGGAAGCGTCGTGGAAGCAGTGTCATTTCAGAAACCTTCCAAAGTGGTTACAAGATAATGATTTCTTACATGCTGGCCACAGACCACCTTTACCATCTTTTTACGCCTGTTTTAAAAGTATTTTTCGAATTCATACAGAAACTGGAAATATTTGGACTCATTTGCTTGGTAAAATTTAATACTTATTCTTAAAGAACTGCCTTTTCATTTATTTTTTTAAAGAGATTAATATGTTTTATTCTTTTGACAGGATGCGTTGCATTTATTGGCATAGCTATATTCTTCATAACACAACCTCCTATAGAAATACAATTAGAAGAAAAATTGGTATTTGGTACCTTCTTTGCTGGTGCTATTATATGTCTAGGAATGTCATTTGCCTTTCACACTGTACACTGCCACAGCGAATGTGTCGGAAAGTTGTTTTCAAAATTAGATTACTGTGGAATAGCTATGCTAATTATGGGTAGTTTTGTACCATGGCTTTATTATGGTTTTTACTGTGATTATCAACCTAGGCTTATTTATTTGTCAGTGGTTGTAATACTTGGTGTAACAAGTATTGTCGTATCATTATGGGAACGATTTGGTGAACCAAGTTACAGACCATTAAGGGCAGGCGTTTTTATGGGATTTGGTCTTAGTGGGGTGAATAGCATGTACTATATTATATTTATATGTCAAAGAATTTATAAATTTGTTAATGAAATGATATTAGATTAATGTTAATGAAATTATATTAGATAATATATTATATCTATAATACATTATATTAGATAATACATCATAATCAAAATGTTACATTTCTTTTTTTAGGTAATACCAGCAGTACATTATGCCATTGCAGAGGGTTGGTTTAAAGCAATTAGTCAAGCATCTCTTGGATGGTTAATATTAATGGGATGTTTGTACATCTTAGGTGCACTGTTTTATGCATTAAGAGTACCTGAACGATTTTTTCCTGGCAAGTTTGATATTTGGGTAAATATTTATTTCTACATTTTTAAGTGTAATTGATAGTCATTAATTTTATGAATTTTTGTATTAATAAAAATAAATTCTAAGCTAGAGTCGCGGTTGAAGCCTTAAGAGCCAGAGCTTTCTGAATTCGAATTTTGAGTTATAAAAATTTAAATTCTTAATGCTCGAACTTTTAAACTCAAAGACTTGAGCTAAATTGTATACAATGATGATTGTAAATAATATCGTAGACTGTGATATGCTGATGATATCGTAGACTGTGATATGCCGATGATATCTTAAAGCTTAAAAATTTCAAAAGTTTTAGTTTCATATAATAACAATTGTAAAAATTCCTTTAAAGTTGAACCTTGAAGTTTCGAAAACTTTATAGCTTTATACAATATTATTCAGTTTCAGAGTCATCAAATCTTCCATGTGTTAGTGATTGCAGCAGCTTTTGTTCATTACCACGGAATAACAGAGATGGCTATGTATAGAATGACAATAGGAGATTGTACAAATCCGTCGCAGGTGATGGCTTTTTAATTATGGCAATGAACATATAATATCGTATTGTTGGATTTCACCTTACGTACCTTTATCGAGACCTAAAAAGATTCCTAAATCTTTGTGTGTCGGTAGATCTGTACTGTAAAGAACTGCTGGAAACAATATCATGAAAATAAACAGCACAAAAGTTTCCTTCTAGTTCGTCATAATTAGCAAAAAATTTCAAAAGAAATTTACAAAAATTTGATAAAAGTTCATAAAGAAGTGCAATATATGATAATGAGAAATTAATTAAATAAAACTTTTTACACTTTCGTAAATTTGAATTTATGAAAAATGTCTTTATATTGAGCTCAACGTTTAAAACATTTGTCATATTTATCAAAAATTTCAGTAGTACAAAGTAACAAATAATGTAACTATTTACACTTGTTTCTTCCTTTATGCGAATAATTTATTTAAACAATGCAATTTCTTTATAATTTATTTAAACAATGTAACTTTATTATATGCAAAATGAATGTTATAGTTATAAAATATCATTTTACTGACTGATAATGACTGATCTCTTGTTTCGTGCAGTTCTCTTACTTGTTGAAAACAAGTTGATGAAAAGAAGTTGTAAAATACGAAACAGAGTACAGATATATGGCAACGAACAAAACTTAATATAATTAAGATTTAGGAATTAATTGAAAACATGAATGACTTTATAGTATAAGCACTATAAAAGTTGTAATATATTTTGAACACTGTTAAAGCAATGAAAACTATTTATTGTAATGATTATGTGTGAACTATACAAATTCAACCTTTTTTACATCACACTTGCATATAGTAAGTAAAACACTAATTTTCTTTTCATTGTCTGTATCTTCAAAATTTATCGTGTATCGTAATTTGTTTTTTGACTTCTTATTTTCTATATTGGTTATAAATGGTTTGCATTTTTTAATACTAATAGAACAATTTTCGTTCTCACTTTTTCCCCTTAAATATTCATAATATTCTTTCTTTTTTATGTAGCCCTATGTTTGTTGTAAAATACACATTTCATTGCAGATCTGCTGTTTTTTCATATAAAAAAGTGTTGAATACTTTTGTTATTATCGTAGGGTCTAGTACTTATATGAAGAGATATTGTTGACATTTTTACATAAATAATTCGTACTATTGGTAAATTAATAAAGAAGGAAATTATGAATTTCATATGTAAAAACACAATTATCCTACTTTATGTAATTTCCCAAAAATATATTTTTCTAAATAAATATTGTAGTATCATTTTGCGAACTATTAGAATATATTAGAATTATCTTCATCCACTGTAATAAATGACAATCGAGACATTCAAAAACAAGAATATAAAATCTATAAAATTAATTAATTTACAATTTTTTTTGTCAATTACTTAACACATACATAAATCTAAATCTTGTCATTAAGAATAATAAGCTGAATTAATTTTATGTTTCAATAGTATTTATCGTTTAGTTTTACTATCAGAATTATGATGTTTTTATTGTGAATAGAAAGAGATTGTGATCGTTCGTTTATTTATTTATATTCAATAAGAATTTTTAGATCTGCAATTATTATCTTTCGTTTCTAGATAACGTGAAATTCAAAATTCTATTAAGTTTCTATATTTTTGGTACAAAATGTTTATACAAAGTACTTATAAACGTGTAAAAAATTAAAAAAAATTTTATGATAAAAATAATTGTACATTTTATATGAGCAGAATCTTGTTTATTAAGAATTTGTATATATATAATTATCAATTTATTTTCAACTTGAAAATATGAAATAAAAAAATATTGAACTACAAAATCAAAAATTGTAGTATTACTTATTGCAACTATATATCTATAAAATGAATAAGTAAT